TATTTGTCACAAAACCCTTGCATAGAATTCCTAAAGTTTTATGGACACAGCCCGAAGTCATGTTAATGCAAAATTTCGATCAGAGCACTGTTTCTGACGACAAATTCAAAATTTGAGTTACAGTTTATGAATTGAAAAATTCAAAGTACGATTCGAAAAATAGAATCGAATTCATAACTTCTACATTAATAAGAATTTATTACACAGTCATAGTTTTTTCTTCTTGATTTCAATTAACTTGCATTTATCCAATGTTCGTTTTTACGATGGCAATCTATCCAATTCTTGTTTTCAAACAATGGAGATAATTTAGAAGATTTGTTCATATCTCTGCAATAGAATTCAACTTAGTATGCATAATATCAAATTGCAAGTTCCTCACCGTTTCAATGTGAATGTTCCTTTGCCAACAATTGACATTAACAGAAGTTCCTTGTTGCGACTAAGAATGAGACGATCCACTGTAGCTTGAATACAGACTGATAAATTTTCAATGAAAATTTTCTCTAGACATTTTCCATTTTCAACTATATACATTAATAACAATGATTGTTTGTAACAGATTCCAAATAGATATTGTCCATCTTCTGTAAAGCAAAGTGTATCAAATGAGAACTTCATTCGAATTTTGCCACGCAATAACTTGTCCATATCATAAATGATTATTTCGTTTCTAGTTTTGTCGAGCAGAGCAAGACGATTATTTTTTATTTCGACAAGATCGGCATGGCCAAGAACAATTATTTTCGTTTCTTTATCACTAAACTTTAAGTACACTTGATAATCGTTGTCATAAAAGATAAGTCCTATGGGAAGAGCATATATTTTCTTGATTTGAATATTTCTATCAAATTTTAACGATTCATATGTAATTTGATTCTTATTCGAATTCCAAACAGCTAATGACAAGTGATCACTGGACAAAATTAAGAATGTAGATTGTTCAGGTGCTACGATGCTCAATTCAACGTCAAAGTTCATATGGAATTTTACGATACTTTGTAATTCTAGTGGATATCTGGTGTCAATTTGAAAAAGTTGTTGTATTTGTCCATCAATGATAACAAAAGATGATCCTAGTACATGGACATTGACAAATCCATGTTGAAATACACTTGTTTGAAAAAGAAGTTCTGGTGTGGAACAAATCGAGTATATAGAAAGATTATTCTCTATGTTAAGAAGAAGAATATACGATGATATAATGGCAACTTTAGTAATTGTTTTGGATATATGTAATCGCATGACAAAAGCCAGACAATCAGCAAATGTGAATAGATTTAAAATGCTGTAACATAAGAAAAATATTTAATGAGAAATCTTAAAAATTTCAAAAAAAGAAAATAATCCTCTGAGTATTATGATCAGGATGTTTTTCTCTCTCTTTCAATCTTCAATACTGCTTCTTTTCTTCAAGATACATTTGAAAATTTTCTACAAATTCAAATACTCTTTCATATAAATGTTTTGTTAGTTTTCAAAGATTTATGGAATACGAATAATAGATTTTCATGCAGTGAACAGAATGACAACTGCGATCAACAGAAACTACTAGATTGATCATTCACACTAAATATTGTTTATCTAAATTGTTATGTAATGAATATTCGTATATGCTCAATATGTTGTTTTTCTAGAGAATTATACGGAACATTTTTTTTCTTCAAAAAGAAGCAACATTAAAGATCAACAGAAAACAAAGCAAAAGTCAATATCGTGAAAAGCACATTGATTATATTATACTCATCAATTGAAGAATCATCACTACAACTCACCATTTTCTCGTATCAAGAGTCACAACAAATTTATCGTGAATTTGGAAAGAATCTATTGGTTCTTTAAGTAATGAATTTTCTGATTGATTAGTTCGTTCGTAAGGTAGATAAGTCATTATTGTAACATTGTATTGACGAAGTTCACCATTTTCCAATACGCAGTAGATAGTGATACCAGTTTCCTCATCTATAAAAATAGACTCGAAATATTCCAAAAGTCATTGCCATAATACTAGTCTAAAGAACTCATATTTTATTCAATAATAGAAAGTATTTCAATTTTTTAGTCGTATGAAAGAGGTTCATATAAATACAGTTAAAATATATGATTTCTGATTCAAATATAGAAATTCGATTTTCAATACAATTATTTTTCAAATGATTTCATTAGTTATGCTTCGTTGAATATTCTTGGTCAATAAAACTTATTATCATATATGACTAATGTTGAAACTGTTGAACTTTTTTCTCTAAAGATACCTTAAAAACTATGCATTAAATGTGACATTTCATTTAATATAGAAAAATAACATGAATTTTTGTATCGAGTCAATATTAATATTTTTCAACATTATTTATAAATCATTTTTTCATAAAACACAAAAGTTCGAATTTTCTTTTGTTTTTGAACAAAATAAAGTAACTCTTTAGATTATCACGACAAGGATCTAAACGAATTTAATTTATACTACCGAATATTGTAATACTCTATACTTCTCTACGCATCTTTATTAAAAATACACTCACCAATGTGGCATGAATAATGAGAAACTTTGTAGTCGAGTTTTAGACGAGCCATTAGACGATAAAAATGTTTACTATCATTACATTTCCATTCGAAAATGTCAATGATGAACATACTTTGATCGAGACAACAAACAAAATCAGTACAATCGTTAAGTATTGTTAAATTGAATGCCGCACATATCGATTGATATTTACCAGGGATGATAAAGTATGCACCACATGAATGAAAGATGGCAACAGATTCATCACTGAGCCATATGAGTGCACTTTGAAATTTTTTGAAGAAGAATTGTCGATGAAATCCAAAACGACTGATAATTGGTAAATGTTCGATCTTTTCGAGACGATCGTTTTCAGAACGATTGAAATGAAAGAAAATCATGTGTGATTCGCCTTCAGAGTAATAAGCATCAGTTTCATCATTAAAAAATATGCTTTCATTTCCCAATTTTTCTTTCAACATAGTAATAGGTGTAAAGTACACTTCGTTGGCAATATGATCATCAACATATTTTGCTTTTGCAACTATATAATGGACTATATTTGTCTCAAGTGTAATTTTAATCATGATACCTTGATCAGTTTTGAATGTAGAACATTGTAAGATAGGCTCTTCGACTCCATACTGACCAATCAATATCGGTTTTAAACAACTCCAAATATCAACGGATTTACTACCTTTCGAGCAAACAAGTAGAGCATTGCTAAAGACAAAATCCACATACATCAAATTATCAATATTCAATTGTAGCATAAACTTCTGATAATGCAGACACTCAAAGATCATGAGCGATCGTGTTGAATAAATACATACGTATTCTGGATGAGTTTTAAGTGATGTGAAATCGTTTGATGGCAAGTCATATTCTTCAAATTTACCAGACCAATTACCAGCACTTGTACGAATAATAATAAATTTTCCTTGCAGAAGTATAAATAAACAGAATATGCTTTGATTTAAGGTATGAACAAAGCCAATTACATGTTTCATCAAACACCAATCCGAAGATTGCATTTCATTTTTAATCATACGTAACGCACAATTACATTGACATTGACAAAGTAGATTATAGATCAATTCTGGTAATACATCAGAAAAATGAACTAATCGAGAGGAAATCTCGAAAGCAAAATTATTCGGATATTTTTCAAGAATGACAGAAACTATTTGATATTGAATAAGAAGAAATCGAAGTTGAACAAACGAACTTTTAGGTGATAATCGATCACTCATTTTGTAACACTGAAGATAATTCGACATGAATTCATAGTCGTAGAAAAAACAAGGCTCATCCAAATAGTTGTCGATATTTCTACATAATTGATTGATTCGTCGAATATTGAATTTTCGACCTTGTCTTTTGTTATTCGTTATATAGGGCAATTGTTGTGTAAGACGTCGATTGACAAGCATCGAAGAAATTCCATGGTTTCTTTCTATTAACTTTCGAGATTTAATCTCAAATGGGTGAGTATGTAAATTTGGGAAACCTAGAACATTGCCGGCAAAGTAAGCACGTCGAATGAGTTCAATTTTCTTGGTTTCTTCATCATTTAGTATTTGATATTCACGGAAACTGCGATGATAACTAGATGAAAAAATGCGTTTAATCAAATCTTAATCATTCGTGACACCCTTAAGGAAATTAACATTTTCAATTTTCTAAATTTTCCTTATCCGATCTAATCTTAGTTGGTCTAAAATTAATTTTAGTCTACTTTATTTAATTCAAGATTCTTTTTTAAACACTTCAAATTTTGCAGGTTTTTTTTTCAATATTTACAGCAGTGTTCTATAACGGATATTTCGAAAAACATTACATTTATTTCAAGGTTGCTGTAATCGATTATATCAAAAATCCAGAAGTAATTATATTCATATTGAAACAAAGAATCTGAAAATCAATATCGGTATGAAAAATATATTGACTGGGTTAGTAACATGTGATTCAAAAGTCTTTCGACAAATATCAACCTATGTCAGATCATATTGCTAATTTCTGAGTCAATCAATTTTTTTTGTTAGAAAGAACGAAGTTTGACCTAGAAATTTTTCATCAGACTTTTTTTTCGGAACGAATTTACGAAGTAGGAGAAGTCGAAAACCAAACATCTCTAAAAAAATAAGTTCAATTTAGTATTGATGTTTCTAGAAAAATACAGCTGTTTCTAGATGGCACTGTATAATTTGGTCTTTATTACTATCTGACCTTTTTTTGCAACAATAAAACAATTTTCTTTGGAATCCTCTTTTTCTGCTAAGCGTCCCAGATCTGACGTAATTCGAACAAGTAATATATAAAGAATTTAGTCCATAGATAATTTCTGTAAACTGTGGTCGATCTCCTTCGAAATTGATAGTTCTGGCAAAAGACTCTATTTTAGAAAGATTTCAATTTCCCACTTTTTTTTAAATAAAGAGTCAAGAATGGATCTTTAAAAAATTATCAAAGTTGATACCCACTAAATATGATGTACTCACAAATAGATTATGGATGTATTATCGACATCTTTTTCTACAAGATATTTTTGCATATCATTGCGGATACGAATCCATAGTGTACTCGGTATTCGAAAAATGTCAATTGGCGGAAGATAGTGAACAAATATAGCTTGAAGAACTTCATTGTCAGCACTCAACATATCTTCTAGTTCGATCTCAGAAAGACCACCTCCTTGTTGAAGATAAGCCATCGCTCGTTTGAAGAACACTTCGTTGTGCTTCTTCGATAACTGAGAATATAAATAGTCTATGGCATCATTGCTTGTTTTTATGTTCAAAAAATTTTCGTCAGAATTTTCATCGTATGAATGCCATGTAAGCGTCATATCATATATCAAGGATAGAAACAATGGCGTAGGTTCTAATTCAGTAGTAAACAATCCAGTGTAAACAGTACGAGATTGAAGTTTTGGCTGTAACCAACTCATTTGAAGTGAAGTAAGACATCGGCGATCACGTTTTAACCATGATTGAAATACATTCTCAGCTAAATCTTCATCGAATACAGTTATCTCAATCATTGGAGCATCGTCGAGAAGTGATTTTAATCCATCAAGAATTTCATACTTTTCTGGAGGATCTTTTCTTTCATCAGAAATCATCGGTATAGTAGATAAGATGCACTTGATATTTTGTGGATAGCTGATTGGTAACCATTTTGAGCAATCGTAGTTTTCAATTTGTAGTTGATCGATAGAATCAAAGAGAAGAATAAGTGTTTCATCTGTCGGAATTCGAGTCAAAATTTGTTCAAATGTTTTCTTTAATTCCTCAATTTTTGTTGATTCACTGATAGAAGAAGGTTCAATATCATAGATAGCACAGATTTGTTTCATCATCGAGATTAGTGGTTGACGAATGTCACTTGATAACGGTGTTGTACCAAGAAAACGTAATATGATGGAGACAGAATTTGATTTCGGAAACCACGTTGAAGCCTTATAAGTAAAGTAAATGTAAGATCTTATTAATGTAATACTGAAATCACCTTGATTGCTACTTCAGCCATAATAGAAGATTTTCCGGTGCCCGATTCACCATATATTATGCAGGGACGGGATTCATTCGACAGTAAAAAAGTTTTGATCTACAAAATGTGACAATTAGATCTATACTCTATGTATTATTAATGTTCACCTGTGCAAGTATGTTATCACGTGGAAAATATCGTTCATTAAGCATTCTGCATTGAATTGCATGTTCCACAACTTCGTCGTACAAAATATCTTTTGTTCGAGTTTGTTTCATATGATAATCAATTTGATTTTTTATAGCATTGTAGAAATCGTCTTTAAAATCAGCTAGGTATTTCATTCTACTTGATTCATCTGTCCATTTAATCTGAAAAGTAATGTAATCTATCTCAGTAGTTCGAAAACTTCACCGAACAAACCCGATATGTGAATATATTATTCGGACCAAGTTCAGTTTCGATAAAAGTTTTCAAGTCTGTTAATACTGATTCACCATGTTCATCATTTGTATCACTAAATTTCACTTTGAGTTTCGAGTCAAAATGATCTATATCTTCTATTTCACGAAAGAAAGCAACTATACGTTGCGGTTGATTTTTATTGTTGTTCAATGCTTGATAAATTTCTTTTGCTGTTACTAAACATTTTAATATGCACATTGGACGAAGAACTCTGATTGACTTACCTGATATGTGAAATTCATTTCTCTCATATTCACTTAAAGTCTTGTTTTCTAAATAGCAAATATCAGAGGCTTGCCGCAAAATCTTTTGGAGTTTATTATTTGTCGCATTCCATTCATTTTTTCTTTTTGGATCGATGGGCAGAAGAACATAGACAGGATCGAGTAAATTTTCGTCCAATCGATATACTTGATTTACAAAAAGACTTTCGTCTGAAGACATAACGCTTTCAAGTGTTTGAAAAACATTTTTTGCAATTCGTGCGGGTAACATACAACTTCCATATCGATGACTCAACAAAATCTAAAAGGAATCAAACCATTTTTTGAATCTTGCTCGTTAATCAATTTGAAAAAACTCACAGCACAATTGGTCGCTAGTGAGCGACGATAACATTGTTGCAACTCTTGCAAACATGTGTCTACAGTTGAATGATCATTCGACGCTTCATATTGAACACCCCAACGCATGTCGGAATACTGAAAATATTCATGTTAATAACCAGTACAAGTAGTAACAATATACTACACCTGAAACTGAATGTTATACATCTTTTGACAATATTCTCGAAGTTTTGGAAAAACTGATAAAATGAGTGCATCGCGTTCTTCGACTGTATCTTCAAGTATAAACGAATATGATTTAGTCATCAATTGATTAAAAGAGAATTTACCTGTAAAAGTAGAACTGATGAAGACTCGCACTGAATTTGATTTATTATCGGGAACATTGGTAACACGACCTCGAAACAATTGATTATTCATTGTCATCTGTTTTGACTCACTTAAATTATGTGAAATAGTCCAGTCATCATTTGACATGTCTATTATCTTGTTGAAAAAATTTGCTTAAGATCAGTTCTCTTATTATCTGAAACAAAGACAATTCAGTCAATGATAATTATTACTCAATATGTATACAAAAAATAATATCTATTGAATTTGAGAATGAGAATAATCGCATGGTTATCAATCAATGAACATGAACTATAGTTGTATCAATAAATAAAAGAAATCAGTGATTAATTCTCTGATCGCTCTATACATAGAAGCAACAATTAGAGACGTACGATTTTTAGTATAGCAGAGAAAAGATCTTGATAATTGATTCAATGCAAATCATGCAAGTCGAGAACAAATCAGACAGAATGATAAATTTTTGATTATGCTTGCTTTCGTTTTCTATTTGATCGAAACCGAAGCAATACTCTCAGAATCTATTCAGCTGAAATTTTTTAATAATCATTCCCAATTAATCTATCTACAATATTCATTTATCAATCTATAGATTAGGTGAGTTATACAATGAGGAAATCCTCCCAAGTATTGATTTACTTTCGAATTGAGACTATGTACATCATAGAAATTCTTATAAGCTCTCAAAATCCTGAAAAAAAAGTTAGTGCTCATGGTTTATTTTTGTTGAAATATTTTCTTTTCATCGTAGTTTTTAGCATAACCTTATGGTTTCTCTCAGAATGACTTAAGAAATCGACTTTTGAATTTAGACATGTCACTTTCTTCCACAGAGAAATATCTTATTGAACTAATTAATTTATTTGGATGATTTTAAGCTTTTGAGTTCCTTCTTTTCTAAAACAAATATTTTCAGCGCAATTGCTGCGGAATTAAAATGTGAAACACGATGTAGCTGTTGTTGCTAATTACATGGAGATTGTTTTGTTCGATCCTTTTTTGAAATACATTTGTTCACAGCCCTTTACTTAATCATCCTCTAGAACTACAATACGAAAGTAGTTCATATCTTCTAATGAGATGTTGTTGATATACGGTTCTTAATCGTATATCAACAACGTCTGTCACGCCTGTTGGATAGAGGGGAGGATCCAAATTTCTACTTATATACTTCAACACTTCTTTTAGATCGTGTTTCACAATATGAAGATTAAATATTTTGTACTGTAGTTTCAGTTAAAAATGATTTTTTTCCTTACACTCTCCCTCGGACAAAAAAAATCTATCTTTTTCCAATCCATTTTTTCATCACCGAATATGCTGTATTAAAAAACAAAATACACCAGAAGATATAGCGTGAAAAGTTCTACAATTTACAAAGAACAGCGTATTTTATAATTGTACCTTTTGTGTTCAAAACGAACAAAATTCTGTGTGACTAATTTTTGACATTGCGAACAAGATCATTTTTTGGTACATAATCAATTCCTTATCTTATTGTTTTGGTTAATGAGTTGTATCGAAAGCCATAATCGATGGCTGAACAAAGAGATAACATTAAAAAGAGTAATTCATTAATTGATGACATAAGAGAAAAGGAATTGGTCGGATACCAAAAAATTGCTCTTTTTCGGAGTGTCAGAAATTAGTCACACAAAATTTCATCTATTTTAAAAACAAAAATTACAGTTATAAAATAAGCTGTTCTTTGTAGATTATAGAACTTTTCACGCTGTATCTTTTGGTGTATTTTGTTTTTTTAATACAGCGTATTAGGTGATGAAAAAATGAATTCAGTAAAAGTACTTTTTTTTGTTCGAGGGAGACTCATATTCATAGATATAAGGTACTCAAAATTTTGAAATCTTTGGAATAAATTATCTTCATTAAGACTTTTTCTCTGCAAAGCTTCATGCCAAAATTCGAAAGCCAATTCTCCGGGTCACTTTTAGAGAACCATAGCACATTATGCTAAAAAAATGCGGTAAAAATATAAAATATCTAAGCAAAAATAAACAAGAAACATGAAATATTTTCAGAATATTAAAAGCTAATAGGGCTCTACATGATATGTATAGTCTCAAATCGAAACTCCTGTACTATAATACTGTGAATGGGTGACTACAGTTAAATGAAGTCTCTTCTAGATTTCAGAATTTTTATGCTGTTCAATGTCTTTTCTTCCAATAGTAAGAAAAAAGAAGTCTTAATCTAGTTACTGTCGAACGTTGCGTAAAGAACGGTCAAATATATACATATATATTCAAGTAGATGTTAGACGTGTTCAAACTAAATCAAACTGCGTCGAGCATGACAAATGTTGAGTTTAGTTTTCTGCTCGAAAAATCAAAATGACTCTAGTTTAGCAGCCGGTTGTAGATAAAATCGAGCGTAATGCACTTAATTGAAAAGAAAAAGTTGACTACTATTTTATTGAAACTGATCCGTAAAAAAAACATATCGTTACCTTGAAGACATTTATTTATGAAATGGCAATTCTTTTTCTGTCATATGTTTATTGATGAAAATTTGTCGTTCTCGCTCTCGTTGCTATTGCATAGTATACAAAAAGAGAAAAAATTTATTTTGGTTAAACAAACTAGAGAACAGCAGCAGTGCAATGGCCACCATCTTCAGCAGTTTAATCGTCAACAGAATCGATATAAAAATACTCGAGGAATTTTTTTAGAAGAACATTTTCATTATTGAAAACAAGCAACTATGAATAAAGCACGTGTCTTGATAAGTTTTATTCGAATAAGATAATTATTCTCATTTACAACATCATAGTATATTTTAAAAATTTTGTACACATCGAAGTATTAAGGTTGTGAGTGGATGGATGTGGTTGTAGCCTTTCTCTTCACCCACATCCTCATACGTCTCATATAGACTGTTCTTTTAGCTCTTTATATGAAGGTTTGTATTTACTGAGATTGCGTATGAAACTATTTAAGATAGAATAGAAATGAGCTTTACGAATATCGGAATCAATGACATTCAAAGATGATCTATTAATTCATATCTTTTCTAATCATTATATCTAGTCAACAATCTTGAAGTCATTTTCTTATAGAAAATCTCAAACAGATTCTAAATTTTATTATTTCGAATGAGTGGGTGGATGTGAGTAGGGATCAAATAAAGGGGTGAGCGCGGGTTTGGAGTGTGTTCGTGTGAGGGTGAATTAGATTACGGAGAATGCGTGTGTGATTTCTCTTCAGCAGAAACCATACTCCACACCCACACCCACCCATTCTCCTTATTCCTTTCTCACCATGTAAGTACAATATTTATAACTTATTTTATAAATGAATGCACAATACAGTTTCATTAATTCATATTTACATTGCGATCAACTGTTGGATCAAATTCTAATAAAAAATATAATTTAGGTTAATCCTCTGAGTATCAGTTATGATGGTTAATCATAACATGTGATTACATATATTTTTTGGTTGCATATTTGAAGAAAACGTTTTAAAGAATTAAACTACAACTACTATCGGTTTCAAATTATAGTGCGCGTGGTTGCTTTTTGAATAATTCCAGAATGGAAACAGCTGGAGAGCTGCGGTTTTCATCATTGGAAAGAGGAGACGAAGACGCATCGAAACCGATATCGCAAGATTTTTTGACTACTTTCCTAAAAGTTTTATTAAAATTTTTCTAAAAAATTGTCCTTTTGTCGTACATTAAAGAACGTATTTTTATGAAAATATCACAAAAAAGGTTTGATTTTTCTATGATTTTCTTGGAAAAATGGGGTGATAAATTGCAATCTGATGGCTAGAATATCTTATTGATAGTAGTTACGAATAGAGTCTTTACGTAGTCTTCTACCTCTTCATTTGACGATTCTGGCACACTCCTTAAAACCAAAAAATCAATATTATGGCCAATGAATGGCATGCTGTGTTTCCAGACACTTTGTATAAAGCCTTTAGAAAACTAGTCAAAAAAGCTTGCGGTATAGGTTTCGATGCTTCTTCATCTCCTCTTTCCAATGGTGAAAACCGCAGCTCTCTAGCTGTTTCCATTCTGGAATTATTTAAAAAACAACCACGCGCACTATAATTTGAAACTGATAGTACATATTAATGCCTTATACTAAATTGAAAAAAGCTAAATCGATGAGCAATTTTTGTTAAAAGGTCAAAGTATTATTCTGCAACCTTGATCAAGCTGAATAGAAATATAATAAAAAAGACAATAAATTGTGGACTACCTGATGATGCATATGAGTGGTGCATCTTGCAACATATATCTGTAAGAGAAAAAAAGAAAACAAGATGAATAGACATATCAATATCCTAGTCAAACAATAAAAAAAATAATGTGGACCTCTATTTCACGCACTCAATATTAATATATGTTAACTACAAAAGCTATGCATATTTCAAAAAAAAGAAGTCTAATAGATATTTTTTATGGCAAATGATAAAGCTTTGGTATCATGGATATGTTCACGGTCAATTTGTTTTTTATAAATTATAGTTGCGAAAAACAAGTGAATAAAACCGTCGATTTTCTTAAAAGATAAAGACGACATGTGCTGATGTTTTCCTCTCGTAAATTAGTTGAAAATCAATAGCTTTAATGTACTTTATTTTAACTTATGATTATATTCATTTGTTCAATAATAAATTTAGCATGAGGAGAAAAAAAATAAAAAAAATATTTTATTCTAGCTATTCGTTGTTCGTTCAGTTGTATAGCTTCTTTGTTACCGTAAACAGTCATTTAGAAGCGTGAATGTTTCACCTAGGTTAATGAAAAAATGGCTTCGTATCATCATAACAAGTATTAAAAATATATGTCACATGTTGTCTAATAAACACGAAAAGCAAAACTGAATACTATAACATCATCCGATATTGTCGGATGGTCTAGGGATCCGATTGGGTGATTTCGATCTTGAATACTATTCTTGATAATGATGATTTAACTCATCGAAACGTCGAAATAACTATTAATAAATTCAATATTTCATTATATTATTTAACGTTGCTATCGTCTTTTCATTTATTCTTAAAAATGGTACTATTTACTGTCGACGGCGATGAAACAATTTTGACATTTATAAAAGAATTACGATGCACTACGTAAATCTATCAATCGGATGGACTGAGAAACAAATGTTTGAACCTAACCTAGCCTATGATACCTGAATGTAAGGGTAGGCTTCAACCTATGCAAGCCTCGGAGTTCCACCGTCTAAGCTCGATATGTATATGTTGTCATTAAGAAATAATCGCAGATGAACAGTAATTTCAGAAATCGTTTGTAAAAATTCATCTATCTCTTTCAAACTGAAAAACGAATTATTTGTTTTAATCACTTTAACAGCTGATATTGCATATTCAATCGAACTGAAACAATGTCTACAAATACTGTTTAGATAATATTTTAAGTGGCTAGATGTTTTTTTTAAGTATTATATCGCTTATTTTTTGTAGATCTTACGAAAAAAAATGGTGTGTCTAATATCTGTAAAAAAATAGTTTCAGTTGAAATAAATGTACCATATCAGAGAAGCAAATCCTTTTTTCCTCGTGTGACCTCCATATGTCTCCAAAGAAAGCATTCGAACATTTTGAATTTATAACAATTTTTATTCTACTTACCAAAATCTATCTTCAGAACACTTATTCTGACAAATCATTCTCCAAAATTGCCGAAAAGATAGTAAACTTCAGTTGTAAAAAAAACTTTCATTGTTTGCATAGATCAGCAATATCATTCATTGGTAACTTGGTCTTCTGAAACATTGTAATCAGCAATAAATTTCTTTCAAGAGATGTCACTCACATTCAAAAGAACCTCTACATATTTTTAAGTTAATTCAATATAGAAATGGCTGCTATTTATCATTGTTATTTTTCTTCCGAGTTGCTCAATCTTTCAAATAGCTTTCATTTTTTTTTTGTTGTTTTCATTTATTGTATAAGGTAATCTTATTTTTCTAAACATGAGCAATCGACCTCGAGTTGATGGTGATCATCGTTCAACACCACCAAATATTGATGTTATGTATTCTCTTAAAGTTGATAATTTAACATATCGTACACGTGTCGAAGATTTACGACGATGTTTTGAAAAATTTGGAAATATTGGTGATATCTATATTCCACGTGATCAATTTTCTCGATCAAGTCGTGGTTATGCTTTTATTCGGTTTGTTGACCTTCTTTTTCTTTTGTTTTTTATCATTATTTTTTTGTTTGAAGTTATTCGAAAAAGCGTGATGCTGAAGATGCACTTGATCGTATGGATGGTGCTGATCTCGATGGACGTGAAATACGTGTTCAATTTGCTCGTTATGGTCGCGCATCAACAACAGATAGTCGTGATAAAACACGTCGTCGCCGGTAAGAAATCAAACAAAAAAAAAATAAAAAAATAAAAAGTCAAAACTTATATTGTTTTATATCTATATATACGAGATTCCCATATTCCCATCCCACGAACAAAATTGATTATCTCTATTCACACAGGTATTCTCCTGCGCAAAGATGCTGTTTCCTGTATTTTGTTCGAGAATAAAATAAGATAATGGTTGATTCCGGTGGTTGCTGCATTTGACTAAACAGAGCGAGACTCCAGGCGATTTAACAGATCAGATGTAAGATATCTATATACATATGTGTGTCGTCGATAAGGCTTTTACAAGAATTGACAAACCTGCATTGGATTATAAAAAAAAAAAAAAAAACTTTTGATTTAATGAATAATTAGATGAAATATTTCAATTCTTTCTTAGAACACGTTCACGATCAAGATCTCGTCGACGTTCAAGACATCGATCACGTAGTGGTAGTTGTCGACGGTTAGTTTAATTTTGTTTTTGTTTTATAAATAAATCATGTTTTTTTTGTTTTGTTTTTGCTCAGATCACGATCTCGATCAACATCACGGTATGATAAAATTATCTTTATTCTTAAAACTATTTCTAAAATTAATTTTTTTATTTTTTAGTTCGAAACGAAGTCATCGTCATGAAAATGGTGAACGTGATCATCGGCGTTAATAAAATAAAATAAAAACTATTCAATTTTTTTTTTTCTTGCTTTTTTATAGTTACTTGACTATATATATATATATACATTAATCATTGTGACTGATTTATAAATAAAAAAACAAAAAAACCATAGTTCATATTTCAGATAAGCTCTAATTTATTTTTACTATGGCTACAAATACTACTGATCAGGTGTGATAAAAATTTATAAGAGATTTAAAAAAAAAAGTCAATTATTCAGTTTTATTTAGCAAAGAAAATATCGTGACGATGCAAATGCTGTAGAAAATTTTTCTAAAAAATATTATGATATATTAGATACACGAAGACATGTAAGATTTTGTAAATTAAAAACAAAGAAAAATTCAACAAATAGATTATTTAGAATGTAGATAAATTTTATCAAACACAAGCAAAATTAATTTGGAATGGAAATGAAATTAATGGTCAAAATGCAATTGCAAGTCATTTAATTTCATTACCACCAACAAAACATCATATTTATGCATTAGATTATTTTCCTATGAAAGGTAGAAAAAAAGAAAAGAAATCCTTTTGTTTTCTTTTTTTTTTGCTATTGAAAATTTAATTTGTTTTATTTTTGCATAGATCTTTTTCCTGATGAAGATACGACTTATCAAGTATTTGTTAGTGGTGCTGTTATCTATGGTCCACCAGAGACTACAACAATAAACAAAGAAAAACGTCTTTTTTCACATATATTTGTATTAACTGTTGATGTTATAACATCAACATGGGTTATTGCAAATGAATGTTTTCGTTTTCATGAATAATATAAACATTTATTTGTATATAAATATATATCTGTTATTGTTATTGTTTTTTTTTTTTGTTGTTACAAAAGATAACTGTTAAACAAAATAAAGAGATTTATTGAAAATAAACATAAGAAAAATAGTAAGAAGATTTATTATTTGTTAAGTTTCATAATCAAATATGGAATCGAGTATCTTGGTTGTAAGAGGCTTTTCTTTCTTTTGGAACGATTATTTTAAAAGACTTAGTAAAAATCAATGAAGTAATTGAGTTTTAGAATAGAAAATTGTCCTCTTTACATTTTAACTAAGATTGAGTTTTGTCTGAAATAAATTATTCATTTTTGATGGAAAATTTTTTCAAAAAAAAAAATAAAAATATGAAATCCGATTATACTAGCTACGCATTAATAATATGAGATTCATAATATTGAAAGCAGTAAATGACATTAGAAAGTTTATCGAAAGATAACTCAACAATAAATTGTAAGAAGGTTTTTCTATCTAACCAAGATATTCGATTCGATATCTATAAAAAAAAAAAAAGAATATAAATGATAATATTAGAACATTTATAATATAATATAATTTTATATATTGATTATATTTTTGATATTTGTTTCGATTGTTTGAGGATCTTTAAAAACAGTCCATTTTTGTTTTGGTACATGTTTAAATGCTTTTATATATCGTTCTACACATGTTGATAAACATTCAGGTGTTTGACAAATATCACGAATAAATATATGAGCAATATTCTGAGGAAATATATTGTATAATTGAGAATAAATTTCTGGATCAAGTTCTCCTTAACAAAAAAAAAACAACCAATAAATTCATAGATAATTATTGTACAATAGTTTTTTTTTATCAAACCTGAATCTCCAACACAAATATATTTTCTTAAAGGATAAGCAGCAATTATATGTGCAATGATTTCCATTTTATATGTTTCAGGTGGTTTTAAAAATTTTAAACTCCATTCAAATTTTCTCAAATTCATTGTACCCATTGGATATTTATATTTTTCCAAAAAACAATTAAGTGCTGGAAATCTAAATATGACTTTTTTTCTTTTTTATTTATTTAAAAATTGTAATACTTACAATTGCCATGGACTTGCACTAACATAATGAAATTGACAATTTTGTTCATTCCATTTTTGATACAATTCACTCATACCTTGAACAGTCGTAAAATCATTATAAAATGTATGTTTTAATAATGATCGTTTACTAAGAACTTTCGAAATTTTAATTGTATCATCAATATCTGATATAATACTAGTACCATAAGATGCAAGAACATATATAATACATTGAAATGTTTTATAATTATCTGATTTAACATCCATTTTAGATTCATCTATTTGAATTCCATATTCAAATTTTCGATCATTAGATTCAGGATGAGTGTGTTGTGCAAGTGATTGAATTTCTTCATCAGATAATTCAAGTTCTTCTTCAATAAAACCACTTTCATCTGATGGTTGAAGTAAATGTTCAACATCATTAATAATAGATTTTGTTATAACTTTAACAGATCTTCCAACAAAAAATAAACCTAAACGACCAGGATTTTGATTTGGTTTACCAAAATCATCTCCTATATGAAAAATAATTTAAATATAAAAATAAATAAATAAATTTATCGAACTTACGCAAAGCATCTTCATATACATCATCATTTATATCTTCATCATTGATTGATTCGTCTTGTTTGTTTATATGTTTATTGAGTGCAGTACGAATAGCAGCTTTCAAACCTTTTCCATTATCGTCAGTAATAGAATCTTCATTTTTCTCGTCATTTGTTTTACTATCAGTTTTATTACTTAAAACACTAGATAAATAACCTTTGATTTTTTTGCCTTCAAATGGTAAATATAACCAAGCTTTGATACTTATTGACCAAATATGTTTATTGGGATCAAATATAGCTAAAGTTGGAAATGGTACAATAAGTGCTTCATCAGCATAGACATGATCTGCTGACCATTGAGCAATATAACTTTTAGCTGATGCAAGTGCTGTAACGTATTTTTTTATATTGGATGTCATTTATAATGAAAAACAGAATCTGATCAAACAAGCAGCTTATGTGGGTGTAAAGAGTATTTTTTTTTCTTTCTCGTCCGGCCTATTCATTACATTTACAACCGACAGAGAACATACAGAAAGGAAAATAAACGGAGAGAAAGAATCGAGAATTATTTAAAATTACTTTTATTTATTCATGTTATCAAGTCGTGCACGCATGTCAGCACATTTTATCACTTTTCCAAAACCAAAAGATATTGTTTCAAGTGTTGATGGATATGGTGGTCCTGTACCATCAGATAAAAATATAACATTATAATTTTGAACAAATGCTGAACGTGCTGTTGTTTCACAACAAAGTTGAGTCATAACACCAGAAATAATTATTGTATCAATATTTTGTTCATCTAATAAAGATTTTAATCGTGTTCGATAAAATGCATCATAAGTTGTTTTTTCATCAATTATAACTTCATTTGATGCAACATTAAGATCAACTAAAAGTTTCCAATTATGAGAATCTTTTCTTATTGCTTCTGATATACCCCACCAACGAATTAAAGCAGATGGTTTTTCTTCATTGCCAAGATCAGAATCAGTATGTTGTGTGAAAATAACTGGTATACCAGCACGACGTGCACTAACTATAGTAGCATTTACTTCAGCAAGAATAGATTTTGCTGCAAATGCAAATTGATTTTGCATATCAATGACTATTAAAGCCAATTTAGAAGAGTTTAAATCACGAGGCATTGTTATAGATCGAAAGAAAAACTATAGTTAAAGATACTAGTAGCAATATAATATAATTTTATTTATGTTCAAGGAAAATAGAATACAGACCAATGGGAAATTTAAATTGTCGCTAGAAGTTATGAATCAAACTATACAGATGCTGATGACAGAAAATAAGATTTTTTCATTACACCAACAACTCCTGTATCATCTCAAACTCTAAAGCATATAATTTTGTAATCCAGAAATATCAAACATTAAACAAAAAGAAGAAAAGCATGTTCAAATTTAGTAGTTCATCTACAGATTATACACATCTTATATATACATTGGCTTCCACAGCACATTATGACAGTGAATGGTTGTTATGTAGTTTAACGAAGTTCCGATTCGGTTATCTAAGCCTTAGTGTTCTTGAGATAGCGAGCTTTTATTGCACTTTTTAATAGAAAACTGTGCTCCGTCGTTAGGTCATCATGAAAATTGAATATCGAGTTTTGAATTGAAATTTTCACAATAAGCTAACGTCATTGAGAACATCATTTATATAAAGTTTCAAATCAAAACTCTAAATTCAACTTTTATGGTTACCTAAGTGAAATGACAACTTTCTATTAAAAAATGCAATGAAAATTCGATATCTCAAGAACACAAAGGCCCAGACAATCGAGTCCTCATGAGATTTCTTTTAATTTTGCCTGGAAAAAACATCTAGTTAACTATAAAGTTCTCTTATCAGAAATAATCACACAAATTCTAAGATAATAAATTCAATACAACAATGAATTTTCAATATCAATTTACCTTCGTGGCCTATCCTAGTCAAATAAAAAACTAAATATTAGTTTAAGAAAAAAGTATAACAGTAGAATTCATAAAGGATTTTCTTTATTGTTATATCTAAATGACGTCGCTTTATCATCATCAATATCTAATGCTTTCAAACATTTCGCTACTAAATCATTCTTTGATTTCGAATATTAAATGTATTTGGTTAATAAACAATAGATTTTATTCGTATCGTTTGAAAAAAAAAAAGATGATCATCATAGTTAGAATATTATCGAAGTAAATGGTTATTTGATATATGACTGATTTGTATAGATGTTCTTCTCAGTTAATCATAAAGCATTTATTGAGGTGAATGAATAAGCTGAGTACATCTGCATCAATAGATTTGAATTCTATACATTTTTATTATTGCATTCGGAAGTTGCTGCAGTAAAAGTAAACAAGCCAGTGATAAAATAACGAAGACAAGAAAGGAGTAAGATTTGAACATACAAGCAACTTTTTATTGCCTCTTCAAACATATTTTTGTTCTCCTATACAATCATTTTAAATTGCTCAATGGCTTTTTTTTTGAAATCGTCTAGTTATTTGTCGGGAACCGGAATTTTCAGCACGGGAATTTTCAGCACGGAACGTTCAGCACGGAATTTTCAGCACAGGAACGTTCAGCACTAGGAATAATCAGCACGTTGAGTTTTCAGCACGCGAACGTCCATCATCAAAAACCACACCGCGAGGTTCTTGGTGTGGCTGTAGGTGCCTGTGGGTGTAAGTGAGATAATATGCGTAGATGTGGGTGTCGTTGCGGACGGAGGCATAGATGGAGTTTATGTGTTTGTGAGGTTCTGGTGCCGATCTGAGTGTGAATCTAGGTGTGTGTATGGACGAAAATGAGTAAGAAATACACTCCGCTAACCCACACATAGATAAGGATGCCCAGTACCAGACCAACACCCATCCGGCACCTGCAGCTACGCTCTTACCTATACCAAGAGCCTCACAGTGTGTTTTTCATGATGGACGTTCGCGTGCTGAAAATTCAACGTGCTGATTATTCCTAGTGCTGAACGCTCCTGTGCTGAAAATTCCGTGCTGAACGTTCCGTGCTGAAAATTCCCGTGCTGAAAATTCACCAACCCTTATTTGTCTATGCTTATCAGAAGAATCGTTTATTCATTGCATGTACTCGAAATAGTTTAAACACTAAACATCTTATAAACTAAATACAAATTTTTCATATGACGAACTGATTTTATTACTGGTATGAGTATTAGGAGAAAATGAAAAGTTATACCAACATTCAATTCAACATTCTTCAATCATGTGTTTGTTAGATTTTTTTTTTTCTTATGCAGAAATAATCATTTCTAGGATGTGAAGTTGTTGTGAGAACTGCAATAATAGTATAAAACGGAATCGAATCTTCTGGAAGATAATCAATACTTATCGATTTCAAAATAAATTGTCTGTGTATGTTAACAATTCAAGAATATCGACAATAAATTTATTTCATTGATATCTTCTAATCAACACAATTAAAATCTTTGAGATCTATCAACAAATATATTTATTTAATTTCTTTCTAAAAATTTAAGATATCGAAATTCGAAAAAAGAAAACAAAAATCATTTCAACCAATAAATAGATATAATAAACAAAATAATATGAGAAAAAATGATGATAATCTAGAACAAGACGAATGATTCAATACAATTCGATAGCCACTTAAATTAACATGCTGTGTATTATCATCTAATGTCACATTAAATTTCGTTATTGGTTCAAATGATTTTATATTTTTAAAACGATTTTGAATAATATTAAGTATATGAGTAATACGCATTGAACGTGTTAAAAATAAATCTAATTTACGATCTAAAAAAATAATAAATTAAATATATATAAACAAAAATAAAACAAAACTTACGACAAAGACCAATTGGTTGAATATCACACATAAATAAACCATTATAACAAATACATAGAACACAATCAACTTCCATTGTTGTCATTGATGGAAATGTACCACACTGTTCATTAAGAGATACTTCACAATATCTTCCAGAAAATCCTCTAAAATATTCTAATATATATATATAATTTTTATTTCATAATTTACTTTGGACATATACAAAATGATGAAAGAAAACATTGACCACCATTTTTACATCCAGTATTACATGGTTCTTCCTCAGTAACATAATCTATAAATACGTATAAAATTATTAACTCATTCAACAATCATATTTACCTTCAGAATCATATTGAAGATAAAAAGCGCCTATGGATCTAAAAAAAAAAACAATTTTTCTAATAAACTTCAACCTTTTCCAAGAAAACAAAATCAAATCTTTTTCTCATACCTGAATAACACGATGAACAAAAAATAAAATCTATGCATAACTGTATGTCATTCAAACAATTGAACATGATTTATATATACATATACAGAAATTCAATGTGTGATTTATGATAAACACAATACCGACATTGACTTAGAAGTTAAAACATGCAATACGCGTCCAAGCGAACAATGAATACGTTTGTTTCTTTTCTACTGTCAATTGTATTGTAATTAACAAGTTTGTGACTATTCGTTTTCTTTTTTTTCATGTAATTGAATTTGTTTTTTCTTCTTTTTCTTCACACCAACTGTTCTCATTTCTTACGTCAATGTCCAACAGTTATAATTAATGAGTAGATCGAATAACATCACCTTCTGCTCATTATATGCGCACGAGTTAATGACATAAGAGAAAAGGAAATATATATGGCACAGTAGGAGTTAATAGATATTGATAATTAAAACAAAATTATTCAAGAATCATTTGTGTTAATATGTGATTCAATATCTCAAATTTTCATATTAATAATATTAAATAAAATGAAGATATTAAATTCGCTTCCCTTCAAAAAAAAAAAGGGCGTGGGTGGGTGATTGAGGTAATTCAAGGTCTAATCTTTCGTAAACGGCATGAGTTTGTATTTGATACCATGTTTATTTGCTATGATTTCTGTTATCTTCTGCTTGAAACATATGCTTCTCTAATCGCGCGCATCCCAGAATTCTCAAACGAGCTTCATTGTTGCCGATTGGTTTGTTTTTATTTGGAAGAATATGTGAAAATATAGTGCCTGGTAGAGCTTTTTTATTATTATATAAAAAAGCACTACTATAAATAGATAACCATTTGTTGAGATTTTTTCAAGTTATTAAATTTGTGATCGTTTTTCTTCGCACAAAAAGTAAGAATTAAAGGGAAAAGAGTATTGCAGTCTGATATGCTTGTTCAAACAAAAGTCGTTAGTGCAGTCCATGTGGGATTAAAATATGAAACACGATGTAGCTGTTTATTACCCATTATATCAACAACGTCTGTAATGAACTTAGTTGGACTTAGAGTGGAGACAGAAATGAATTGATTCTGAGTGTTTTCTGCCGTCGAGAAGTTTGTTAATCATAGTCATTAAATTTAAACTTACTGAAACATATCGATTTCTTGTGAATTATTTGTTAAATTTTTGTAGTCAACTTACAAGAAAATATAACCAACTGTCAGACGCAATTCGAGCTTATATTTTGGGTATGAGTAGGATTCAGTGGAACTGAGAACACTGTAAAAGAGTTCATGCTCATAGACGGAGATCTGATTGCCACATTGGTATAAGAATATGGAATTTTTTTGTTTCTTTTTTCCAAGAAGTTGAGATCTGCAACCTTTCACAGAGAATTTTCATTAAATATACGAGGCAAAGTTATATTCACTTAAGAAGATCGGATCAATCTCAAGATACCATTCATTGAGGTCTATCATGTAATATAAAAGTGAATGTAAATCTTTTCTTTCTTTTTTTCTCTTATACACAATGTCAGCAAGAGAAATACAAATTAATGGATCGACTTCTTCGTCTATGTCATTATACGACACATCATTGAATGAATCATTAAATGTAATATCGGTTTACATTGTATTTGATGAGCATGATATAAGATTGTGAATTATTATGTAAAGATGTTCGATAAACTCTGCCGCTTTAGGATGTTTGATGGACTGAAAAACTAGTCCTCTTAGAACTTCGAGTATCCAGACGAGATACAATTAAGGTGGTCATGGTCACTACAGTCGATGTTCACATATATTCTTTATCTCTTTTTCTTCCTACAGGAAAACCTAAATGAACGTTACCTCGAGATTAATTGAACCTTTTTGAATGAATATTATTACGTCTCGTGTATCAAATGAAAATTTTCAGATCTTAACTTTTTGGAATAAAGAAAAAAAATCTCATATTCTTACATCTATGTGGCCACCAGCCCTCCATCTATGCATGCCATAGACTCGAACAACGTCCGCTGACAGTCGGGTATGTTCTTTCGTTAATAATTTTGAATAATATGATTATAATAATTTTTGAGAAACCATTATTATGAATTGAAAAATCTCAGACTAAAATGAAGAAACAATTCAATATTTTGCGATGACTACTATGACAATGGTACCAATATTATCATTAACAATCAAGTCCATACAAATCATTCTGACGATCTTGGATGCATCAGTAATACATAGCATATGCTAATATCTTGTGTTCTACGAAGCTTTAGAGTCGTGGTAAACGTTGTTTAATATACCAGGACTTATTTTTGTTATTGTGTTTACTACATAATATCGTCTTTTGATTAAATAATAAAAGTTATTATTTTAGTTTAATGACTTGAACTAATCGATATGAATAAATATTTTGTAATAATTAAGAGTTTACACTGTTCGTTGTTTAGTATATCAAAAATCTCATTCCTATTCACATATACATAGGAAATATTGTTAAAGTCATTCACACAGGTCAAAATTGCTCAACATAAAAATATAAGCTGGATTGACTCACAAACTATTCTATTTTTATATAGTCTATTTATTTATTATTTTTAGAGATATATTTTTTTAACCAATTTGTTTCATTACTAATAATCGTATTTCTGTTGACTGTCACGTCATCGCCAATAATATCAATAACAGAAATGGAGACAAGTACCAAGTACAAGGACAAAGGGTTTTTTTTTATTGGAATTACTTTTATGTAATAAATCAAATTATCGAGTACAAGAAGAACAACATTATCATTAAATTTCCATAGATTATAGTACATATTGCAAACATATTGTTCTTCATAGTAATTGTTATGTTTGGTTAATTTATTTTTTAATAAAATATACTTCATCAAATATATTTTAAATTGAAATCCTTTACTTTATATTAAAAAATTGTTATTGAAAACAAAAATAAACAAGAGAGATATAGTCTATTTTTTTCATATGCGCTTAGTTTCTATTGATTGGTATTGGTTGTATGATAGATAGACACCCTTTTTTTTCCTTTCTATACTTCAGTACATATATATATATATATGTATTTATCAACATGATAATAACAACAGCAGCCGAAAAAAAACTAGAGCAATATAAGGAACGTATTTTGCATTATCCCTACGACAACAACCGACGCATATGTGTAGATAACAGATAGAAAAAAAAAAGACGAAGGCATACATTATTGTTACTGCAAGTCATAGAAGGAAAAAAACCACAGATAATATCTTTATAGCAAGAACAAGAATATTATTCTTGGTATAACTTATAAAACGTGTACTGATCGCCCCATAGTGATATTAACTTTTATTCAGTATTATGACGGACTATGTAGGGCAAACAGTTGACGTTCTCGATTGTTACGAGGGTCGTGATGCTGCTATTACATTTACGCTTTATTTTTGCTGTTTATTAAGTGGTTTTTATCCACGAAAATCTAAATTACATCGATCATTACAACGTATTTTTAAACGACTTGAAGATTGTCGTGTTGTCTTACGTCTTTATGATGATTTGACTATTCTTCGAGATTTATTTACTTATGAATTGAGACCAGGAGTAAGAAATTTTTCCATTTGTTTTTATTTAAAATAAAAATGTATAATTTGTTTTTTTTTTGTTTCTATTTAGGAAAGAAATTGGATAGTTCGTTTATTGAAATGTCTTCATTATCTTTCATGGCTTTGTTATTATCCATCAGAACATATTGGTTGGCTTGGAGAAATGAAAATGCTTGATGTTGACGCTAAATTATGGGATTTTTATACGAATTTTTTCTGGTCATCAGCTTTACTTACTTCTGCTCTCTGGTAGGAATTTATTCTTAAGACCTTTATTTTTCAATTAATTTTGTGACTTAGGAATGCATACGTTGTTTTACAATATATGGTACAGCAAAGTTATAGTGTAGAGAGAAAAGAAGAAGAGTAAGTTAAGAGAATAATTAAATTAAATTAAATTTTCATTTTATAGAAAAAAATCATTTATCCCATGGACAGCAGCACGTAATGCAATGTTAGCAACTGTACGTGATGGTACTGAATTTATGGTTGCTGTTAATTATTTACCTCGTAGTTATTTATGGGGATCAAGATTAACCTATATTCAAGTAGGCATGTTTGGTACATGTTCAGCTTTCTTACGTCTTTTTGCACTCTTCAAATTTCATCATGAATAAGAAGTTTTTTTCCCTGAATATTTTCTTCTCTACCATTAGAGCAGATATTTATTATTATTCGCAATTTAATTACGACTTTACCTTTTATTAACCTTAAATAGACATTGACTATTTATTCATTTCTTTTTTCTTCAATGTAAAATCTTATTTTTTGTGAACAATAATTTAAATTGTTTTGTATCCAAACATCAAGGAAATTATGGTTTTTTTTTTCTGTCAATATTTATATGGTATGTTTGCATTTGCCATTTTTATATTGAAAAATAAGAAAGATGAAAAAAGATTCAGTGGTAATAAATGTCGACGGGGGGCAAATATCATAGTAAAAACTATAAAGGCTAATTCTTAGAAAGGGCAATAATAATCTTCAGCCGTTTTTGTTGACAAGAGCGAGATAAGTATAAAAAGATTAATAATACAATGAGAATCTTTATGTTTCTCAAAAGATAATGAGAAATAAATAGTTGATTATTATTCGACACTCAATAAATTTTGTAACATATTTTTTAACTATGTTGTTACGAACAAAACTGAAATTTTTAAGTCACTCATTTGTTGATGTAATTATTTTATTTACGATCAATTTTCATAAGAAGTAACATTTTCACAAAATATGTGGGACGTTCAAAAAATTCCAAAACAAATTTTATTTATACAAAAAAAGTAAGTGAATTATAATTATGAATGTATGTTTTATTTTTCGAAGTGTCGTCTATCTATCGCGATACACTTTTGCCAAAGTTCTAGAAGCTTTTGTATAGTTGCTGTGAAGTCATTTTCAGGTAAACGATTCAGATAATGATGTAGTGAGGAATCTAATAGACTTCAATCATTGTGCACTATCTTCCTCTGAGTTTATCCTTTAAGACTAGAAACAGAAAATAATTGCTGGAAGTCAGATCTAGAGAATAATATAGATAACGAAGTAATTCATATTTCACGTTGCGAGTAAGATAAGAAACGAGATGTGATTGCCGTTAGATTTTCACTATTTGTTTTATATTTATATAGATTAATTAAAAGACCTTTTTATGTATAATTGACGTACATACTAATACTACAACAATATAAAAGTTAATAATTGATTCTTTCTCCATCCAAATGGATAATTGCTAAACATATTGTTGCCATCGACCTCACTAAATGGCTTATAGTTGTCATATCAACTTTTTGCCATTCTTCGTACAAAAAGCTTTCCAATCTGTCAATATTTGACAGCTTCTGTCTATCAACATGTCGTTCGAAAATGGAGCATATCTTCTCAATAGAATTAATATTCAAGCTATTAGATGACGAGTCGACCGTTTCGGGCACTTCTTGGTCTACAAATTGCTTTGATATTCTGCTTCTATGTTTAGACTTGTTGTCTTGTTGAAATCTCCATCATCGCTCATATATAGGTAACGGTAAACGGCTGGTCCAGACTTTTTCTATTGAGTTGTTGCATTTTTTTTTCTTTTGAAAGAATTGGTTATAAAACTGCTTTTTTTTCACAAATCAAACACTTTTTACTGATGTCGAAAACTATTTCTGTGGGAGAATATGCATCAAACTATTCTATTAAGTAAAATTTCGTCATAGTATACTTAAAGTCTACAGTTACTCAGTAATACTCATGCCTGATGGACATTTATTTAGTGCACAAAATTTGATCAGATTTCCTGTTCACAGATAGATGTCAAGAGAGAGAAAACTCATGGGAATAAATAATGAAAGACGCTATAGTAGTGAAACAGGACTCGGACGCCATTACTATAATCACTAAGAAATAGATATGACTCATGTCGGTATACCGATCAGTCCGCTGATATGTAATCTTAGATATCTTCAAAAACATTTTCGGCACAACCAGATAAAGTTTAATGGGACATGTAAGCAATCAGGATGTAGTCCTATGAAAAATTTGGGTTTCCCAATTATCTTGATCGGTTGTACTGTCTTCGAGAGCCGGAAACGTTCAGAAAAGACGAGGAGTATCCTTAAGTAATATAGGTACTACTGAAGTAGCACAGTGTAACTAACAGTAGTAGCTGGTCTTTCAGTTCAATAAGTAATTCCACTTATCTCCCCTGCTGTTTTTTTTTCCAAGCATTAAACTTGCCCGACCTTATTGAATTCGTGATCTTTATGGCAATAAACTTTGTACAATGTCCTATTAAATGACAGCAATGATTGTGGAGTTCCATCGTGTAGAAATAATTTTTTTTTAAAGAACTATACTTTTAATAGTGCCATTCTGAGCTAGACTGAGTCATCATAAAAATGGCCCAGTTTTGAAGATTGCTGTGTTCGTTTGTTTCATTAATGAGTATACCTGAATCATAATCTTATGCTTTTTATTAAGTATGATTTTAAAGATATGCTTCCATAAAAAATTTGTTAATAATATTTAATTTAAAAGAAAATTTTGATGCTTATTATTTATCACATATTGATATTAAAAAACAAAATAAAAAATAGTGCATTACGAGTTAGAAGAAATAATAAAAGAAATGCAAACAAATATTTGAAAAGATTCTTGCCTGAAAACACACACAAAAAAAAAATCAAAATTGCATCATTAGATTGAGAATTTTTCGTTTGATTAATCTCCCATATTAAGTAGATCTATATCATCTGTTTTTTGTTCTTGATTATTATCGTTATTCACTTGATCAATTTTATCATCGAAGTGATCAGAATCATCATCTTCGTTGTTTTTACAAAATGTTGGTAAAGAAAGATCAACTTCAATTGGAAATATATCAACTTCTTTCATAATTTCATTACTATCTTTATGATATTTATCAAAAGCAGCCATAAAACGATGTAATTGAAAGACTATATCTTGAACTAAAAGAAAAACGAATAAATGAAAATACTTTTGTTTTTAAATAAACATACGAACCACGTTTTTGATCAAGTAATTCTAATTTAACAAGTACATCTAAACGCATTTTAGCAAAACGTTCACGAGCTAATTGTCGACATCGAAGTACTAATCTAAACAAATAAATATTCATTTCAAATATTGAAAAACGAAAACAATATAAATTCATACAAACCGATATTCATAATTTCCTGTTTCAATTCGTTGAAGTGGTACATATTGTGCAGCAAACATTGATTCTTCATCATTCATTTCTTTTACTTTTAAACAATAAGACTAAATGAATCATTACATTAATAAGAAATCTTTTAAAAATTTATATACAGAAATAAGAACGTCGGACGTTCTTGAACTATTCGAACGAAATTTTTACATTAGCAGACAGAACTCGCTCATCTAAAGCTTTCTACAGCGAAGAGCCTGATCATGTGAACCTTCCATACTGTCAATATCCTTGTTATGCCATTAGATTAGTTTTAGTTTCACTCATGTATGATTTTTATACAAAAATTTAACTCAAATGAAGTCATTCAGAGTTTTTATAGCACTATGTATATCTTACTAAGTATTCAAATTTTGCATCTGCATATTTTTCAATAGTTAATCGAGTATCAGGAATAGCTTTTGTTAAATATGTATTTAAATCTGCAACCATCTAAAATAATATGAATGATAAAATATCTGGAAATATATATTTACTTACATACCGGTACGACAGTATTAAGTAACGTTACAGCATATTGATGAAGTTCTCGATGAGCATCACCAAATTTTGTAAATGCTAGTGATGCGTTGATTTGTGGTTCGCGAGCACCAATATTAGCAAATGAATCACCAAAACTATGATGTATACGAGCTAAGTCATATATACATATAAGTACTTTACGTGCATGTTTTATAAGACCCTGATATAAATCTGCTATTTGCTCAAGTTCATGGAGTTTTTTAACTAGACTATCTAAAGACGAAAAAAACCAACAAATAGAAAGTAGTTTTATTTGTTTTTACCATTGCATAATATAGCACGACTAAGACCCAAAGCATCAGCAGTTGATGAACTCATGGATTCAACTATACGATGTTTGACTTTTTTTAAAACTAATTAAATCAAAAGAAAAATAGACTTTGAATTTAAACAAAAAATATGAACTAACCAATATCTAATGTTTTTCCGTCTTGTGGTCGAGCATGTAATTTATTATAATGAATTTTTACTTCGGACTAGATATAAGAGTCATAACACATGAATTCAAAAGATTAAAAAAAACAGAACATACCCGAGAAGCTTGAATAAGTTTAGCTGCTTCAGTTCTTGTTTGTCCTTTTACTGATATACCATTAATTGTAACAATTTCATCGCCTATTCAAATCAATCATTAAGAAAAACCCAGAAAACAAAAACAAATTTTAATTTTTTTCTTAACCTGCAGCTAATGATCCATCTTTTGATGCAGGTGTATTATCAAATATTTGCACAACATATAAACAAGGACAACATGGATAACCACCACCAATACTTATTCCAATCAAATTTTTCTCATCTTTCTTTAATGTACATGTTCCTGATGTTATGGTCATGCCACTAAAATAGATCACAATTTATATCAATGAGGAAAAAACTTTATCAATTATTGTACACATACAGAGTATTTTCTTCCATATCAAAGTAATCTGCCATGTTTTTTCAAACACTCTATAAACTGATCAATATGCCTATGTCAATAAAAATGAATCATAAAGTATGATTGAAGGTTTTTCGTGCATCTTCCACATTATATATTTAATATAACATTAAAAACTATTCATATGTTTATTTATTATTCGTTACAGGTGTACTTATTGCAAATGAGTGAGCAGATGTCGCATTATTTTCCTTGTATAACAGTCTGTTATACATCTGATATATATTGTTCAATGTAATATAATCAATTGAAAAGATTCGATAAATTTTTAATACTTGAACTGTTGAAACATGAGAAATATTTCTAGTAAATTTATACTCTTAATTTAACAAAATTTTATTTTACATACATTGAGAATGCATGTATTCGTTTATGTATAACTATAAATTCGCTCTTGATTGTTCAGGAAATACTTAAAATTTAGCCCAGAACTTGTATGTATTTTCAAC